ATATAATAGCTAATAAAAAAATGTATATTCACTCTGAATAAAACAATGAGAGAGCTATAAACAGTGCAAAAATTACAAATCTTGAATGTTAAATTCCGACGCATCAGCTGATTGAAAATCAGATCATATAGCGATATTCATAAACTTTAGATTGGTATAACATTTGTCATACGACAACTTTTCAGATATGTTAATTGTTGTAAGATAAAGAAATTCTCGGATTTCTCTCTATTCTATAACCAATCAACATGGTTGAAAAACTTGTACGACAAATATAACATCAATCTTAAGTTGCAACAGCTGCTGCAAAGTATCAGACTACGACGATGATTCATATTATTGTCTGTGACTCATTTAGGTTCACAATTCAGTGATATTTCTTAACGTAGTTAACATCCTCGAAATTCCGATGACAATAACAGCATCGTGTTATCTGTTTCCTTCTAGCATAATAAAACGTTCAAGGAAAAAACCTACACTGACGCGCGTTTTGGACAGCGAAAATATATATATTTATAATAAAAAATATGAAAAACTAAACAATCATACAGTAATAGTTGCGAAAACACTTGTTATATATCACCCAACACATGCGCAATATTAATATTATCATGAGAAAAACATTTTTATCTTTCAATCGAATGGTTTAAACAAGTAAAAACAGTATATGTATATTGATTTCAAAACGGGAATGGATAAATTTTCACGTTATCGTCGATTCGACATAACAATGAAAATCGAGTTGAGTCGGTTATGTAAATATTGCGTACATGTAAATACCAAACCATCCGAATATTCTTTTGTAATATTCAATTTTCAATAGCGCATATACTTTTCATAGTTTGGAATCTTTGTATTGTTTGCGTGATTTACACATACGATTGCACTTCTAATATTTTGATGAATTTTGAACGATTTCTCGAAAAACACATTATTAAGATAAATTATTCTAAGATAAGATGTACTGTAGTTATCTTGTGTTTGAATGGAAACGCAACGCGTAATAATTACGACAATGAAAAATTTTAAAGCCCATTATCCTTTTAAAGGTGAGTTTTGCAGCTTCTTTGCGTCTGATAAAAAAAGCTGCGTAGTAAACTCTGTTATAAGATGAAACATTTTAAAATATTCGACTTAATTATTTCCCAGTTAATCCGCAATGTACTAGCTCTGGTTATCCTTGAATCTATAACGCATTAAAAAAATCTATTATATAATATACGTAACGTGTATTATAATGTATTATAGTATTTTCGTATGTGATATTTTTTGAGAATAAAGCCCCTGTATGTAATTTCACAAGTGCATACTGAAAAGAATCTTGTAATAACTACTAAATGTTAAGTACTATCAATTAAATATTCGAGTAATGTAAAAAATAAAAAATAATTTTGTTTTTTTTTCTAGATATTTAGTAAATATTACCAAGTATGATAATATAATCGTTTGGTAATACTTACTAAATATTTAGAAAAGTAAAATTTAATATTAAGTTACAATTATAGATATATAAGATTAAACAAAGTGAAAAACGCCATATTCAGTTAAGGCGGTTCTTCGTACCTGATAATATTTTTGGTGAATGTATATAATTTCCAGTTCAAATTTTAAAATTATACCAATTGGATTTCAAGACTGAAAAAAAATTTCGGCGCGCGATTTGAAGAATTGGATATGTATATAAATTCATACCGAAATATTTAAGCACTAAGATTCGTTTTAATTGAAAATAGGACTTTTCTTACTTAATTAGTAAAATTATTTTCGGTTATTAACCGAACATTTTATTCAAATTATTTTATTTAATATTTGGTGTTATTATCAGATCCTTTTTTCAGTGTAATAAAATTCACTATAAATTTATATCACGCATGCACAACAAAAACGAATATCAGACAAAAGAACAGGCTGTACTAATAATAAGGACGCTATCCTGCCGAGTAAATTAAAAAAAAACTGAAATAAAAAAATAGAGCGTACTCTAACGAGACTCTGATATTTTTCTGAATGTGTGAAGTTAGCTCCGAAATCATAGTTCCGAGAATTCTAATTAGACTTTTAGCTTGTTTTTATAAAGAGTGTATGGATTGTCTTATGCTTGTTTCTACCAATGCAGTTTAATTTTAGTCTCGGTTCAACTAACTCTTCATCGTTTTCCAGTTCTAAGAATTATACTCGATTCTATCCATGTAATTTAATTTTAATCTCGGTTTAATTAACTCTTCATCTATTTTTAGTTCTAAGAATTCTAGAATTTACGTTTTTAAAATCCAGCAATTAGTACTATTAAAATAGCAATTAAAAAATGCAGAGCTAACTCCACACCTCACTTTTCTCACGGTACATCGTGATCGTTCGAAGAGAACGAAAAATCCGACGATGATCCAGCGACGTGTCGTGCAACACGGTTTTAGCCGATCGCACGCTATTTCGCTCGAAAAGAACGAACGTATGCATGGAGACACGCGACGACGGGCGGGCTCCTCGTGAAAGGATGATGATTCACGAGAGACGCGCACGCACACGAACGAACGTATGCACACACGCCACGCACACAAAATTCGCGAGCAGGTCACGTCTTGCGCGCCCATCTCTTGCAAGCCGACGGACTACGTGTACCGGAATAGCATAACGGTAGAATTTCTGGTATACAATAAGCCATCGCTTAAGCATTAGGTCTGAAGCCGTAAGAAATTGATCAGTCACAGTTAAACCTAACAATAGTAATGACTGTGACTGGTCAATTTTTTGTGACTTAAGACTTAAAAATAAAGGTTTAGTTGATAGAGAAACAGCTCGTTGTACAAAGGCCAGTGAAGACTGGAGACACTCACCGCTCTCGATGTACGGGACCAGCAGCAGCAGCAGCAGGAAGAGAACGTATCCGCACGTGTCACTGATCATCGTAATACAATATTCCCCGCTGCAGTCGGGACACGCGCCGCGCTGGGATACCTGGCGTCGGCCTCCGCTGCACCACCGCCTCCTCCTCACGCGTGCACCCCGCGCGGAGGACAGGAACACAAACAAAACAGAGAGCCCGACTCCGAAAGTAGGCGCGACGCGACGCCAGCAACAGGGTTGACCGCGACAGGGGGCGGCGGGGAAAGAACGACGCCGTTTAGCACCACCTCCTCTCTATCTCTCTCTCGAACTCGAACTCCTCGCTCTCCAGCAGCACTGCACACAACACCAAAGACTCGTCTCGATCACCACGACGACAATGATGATGAGTTAGTTACTCGGCGCTCCACTCCGCTCCGCGGTGAGATAATCTGTGTATGTGGGCGACGGCGAGGACGACGCGGACGATCGGCTGCGCTCTCGATACGGCCACCGCCACGACGCGAATATGAACGCGGCGCGCGTCTCCTTCTCTTTCTCTCTCTCTTTCTCTTCTTCCCTCGTTGTTACCGTTCTCTCCTTCTCCTCCTCTTTCCACTCGTTCGCCTCTCGTGACTTACGCACTCTCTCTTTCTCTGTCGTTTCCGGAGCGCGGCCCGAGGTCTACGCCATTATTTTCCCGTCGGGAATCGCGCCTCGCACGCGGACACCGCACGACCGAGTGTCGACCGACGCAACTCGCGCACACGCACGACACCGTGCACGAATTCGGTCCGCCCCTCGTAGACTGACTTCCGCGACTAACTTCACGCGCGTCGCTCGCTCGCTCGCTCGCTCGCCTGCTCGCCGTTCCGTTTCGCCTCCTCTCCGCGCTTTCCCCACACGGCTTCACAGTGCGTTCGGCCGTTCCGCGTCGATGACAAGACCCGTCGTGCTGGCTCGCAAACAGCTGACGGCGGGGGATCTCCCTACTGCCGCTTACTTCACGCACGGCGCGACAAGGACGACAACGGCCACTCGATATTTAACGAACGCATATCGCAACGGCAACAAAACATACACACACACACACACGCTCACGGGACTGGAGGGAAGGCGTGCGCGCGCGAACAGTCGCCACCGTCGCCACTGACACAGTCCTACCACCTTCGACCTCCCTGACTGCGACCAGCTGCAACGTCCGTGCGCGATGCGAACGAACCGCCTGACTGTCTCCGGGCGCCCGAGAAACGACGCCGCGAGATGGCGCCAGCTACCGCACGGCGCAGCCGCCATCGCGCTTCCCAACGTGACGTCACCCGGCATTGACGCGGCGCAACGTAACGCTCGTGACTGCCTTCACGTCGCTCGATCTGATCTCGCCCCCGCATGTTTATTTACATGTGTTGGGTTGCATCTGAAAACGTCACCCTTGGTGCCCCTATGTATTAGCTTATCTTTGCTTCGAGGCAATTATTTTTCAGGCGGTAAAATTATTCGCAAGAGAGAGTGCGTAAGTCACGAGATTTAAAATTCTCATTAACATTTGATTATTATAATATTCTTCATTTTAAGATGCTTATTAATTAGCATGAAAAATTATCTATTAAATTGCTTGTCAATTTAATAAGATGTTTATTACTCCGGTTTTGCTCAAGACTGAAAAAGATTTCGACGCGTAATTTGCTAAATTAGATGTATGTATCATAAATTCACACAGAAAACTTAAGCACTATAAGATCCGCTTTAATCCGCGAAAATAAGAATATTTTTTTAAAAGCGAAGTTAACTCAAATTTTACACAGATTTTCATAATAATGCACGTTTCATAATAAAGATACATGCACGTTTTATTCGCAATTAAATTATTGCCCATAATTCTTTGTCAGTTATTGTAATTTGACATTTTTATTTCATGTTCTTTTAATCTTAGACTGCAATGTCATCAAAATTGTTATTTACAAGACAATTAAGTTTTCGTTTATACAAGCGATAAAGAAAATTCTCTTTTACTGCTACAGAGAAATAATACTTACGACGTAATATTTAAGGCAACTTATTTATTTAATGAATAAATTGGCTCGTGTTTTTTTTTGCGGTTAGCCCTTAATTGGTGGAATTAATTTCAATATATATTAATTATATTGATAGATGTCTCTTCTCGCGGCAAAGTTCTTAGCAATGAATTAAGACACAGACAGTTTTGGTTAAACACAGAAATTTCACTAATTCATCTGACATTTCAATATGACGAAATACAAAGGGAACACGCCAATTTCATTTTTTATTAACAAGAAGTAAAAAACCATTATTTTGGAATGAAATAGATATATTAATATAATTTCATTTGTTCATTTTTATCCAAAAGTGCGATATGTTAATCTTAATGAATATAACCTTTCTATCTATGGCTCGACAATTAAATTAATTAGAGAGTTAATAAAGTTGAATTAAAAAAAGGTTAAAAATCGCATATTTATCTATAATATATTCTCTATCTCTTTCTCTCCGAAGGCCCGACGATTGGAAGAAATAATTTATTAGATGTAAATTGAGAGCAGTAATTTATACACAGAAGCTACTTATCTATTATTAATCTTTTAAATCCTTAACGAATGGAATCCAAAACAATCCATTTGGACGAAAATGCGTTCTACAGTGAATTCGGATGAATCTGTAAATACAGATCGATCTCCACACGTCGCCTGGTACAACGATCATTCATCACGACGTCCTAAGGAACAAATATCTGCTTCAAAAAATGCACAAACGGAATACGAAACGCATTTATCGCAAAATGCTGCGTATTCCTCAACGTATGGATCTAGTAGTAAGCAACGTATATATTCAACTCTTTGAATCAGCCTGAAAAATAACTCCATTTCCTCGGTATATTCCTACTTCATTTTCGTTTTCAATTCTCTATGCTACGGGTATCGTTTCTCTTTTTGTTGTAAAAATCCGAAATACATCAGAATTTAATACATCAAAAACAGTATACATGTCTGAACATGTGAAAACGAACGAATGATTTAATTTAATTAGAGAATTAAATACTCTCAAGAAACTCTCGGGGTATAATTATCATTCCATATTTATATTAATCCTCCGGAACTGACGGTGAACTTATTACATCCTCTCAAAATTATATTTTGTAGCATGTTTATATATTATATTTGCAAATTTGAAATATTTTTATGTGTGAGACTTTTATATTTTTACAGTAAGAAAAAAACTTTTGCATCAAAAAGAGTAATATTTTCGAAATCAATAATTTTAGACGTCTGTTCCTTTTAATTCTCTTCTATTTTCGTGAAGTAATAATTGATATTCTTCTACAAATTTTTCGTGGAGTAATAAATGGAATAATTGATTTTTCTTTCCATAAAAGTCATATTTTTCAGAAACAAAATTATATCAAATTATTAAAAATAGACTTAGATACCAAAGATCTACTTTAATTAAATATCGCTTTTCTCTTTTATTTAAACAAACTTATTGTTAATATTCTTTTTATATAAGTTAAATTATTTTGGGTTCTTGAAATTAATTAGCGTGCAGCCAATATAAATTAAATGGGTCTCACAGACTTAGCTTAACTGTGTTATAGATTTTGACGTCAGCATTGGAGGATTAATACTTTTTACTTACATATACATAATTATCGGCATTTTGGGACTATTATCGGATCAAGATATCAATTCTTGAATTGAATTCACAGAAGCGCCATCAGATCAGCCCACTGCTAATCGTGAATGGCGTGTCTACAATCCAAAGGAAAATCAGCGAGACATAACGAGAAATCCCGAGGAAACGGAACAAACACATAAGAGCGTTGATACGCGGGATATCATTTTGCCACGCAGACGCCGGTCGAAATCCTGCGTTAAACTGCGTTTATGGTGTTTGAGATTGTGCCGCGCGAAGAAAAGATGTTCCCAACACGTTTTGAGAAAGCAGAGACAGCTTCTCGAACGAATAAAGACACGAAGTAAGGAGAAGTGCGAGGAGCCTGATGATGTGATGGCGGTCGCCGGTGTATCAACTATGCCGCATCGAGAATCGATAAAGTATCGAGACGTCCCGAAGAAGTCTAGGAGAACTCGTAAACAAGACGAGGTGGTGGAGATTGTAGATAAGGACGTCTCAGAGGACATCATCAAGAAGGAAAGAAAGGAAAGAAGAAAAAGGGAGAAAGAAGAGAGGAGAAGGAAAGTAATGATAGAAGAGGAGAGGAGAAGGAAAGTAATAACGGAGGGGGAGGAGAGGAAAGTGAGCCATAAACTCGATGAGCATGTCCCGCCGCCCGTGGACACACGTCTGGTGACGCACGACGATGACCTCGTCGTCGAGAAACGGGTTCCCATGAAACCGCCATCGATCGCGGACGACTTCGCGAAGAGCTGCTGCTACTTGTGCGCTCAGAACACGCTGGCGATCGCGGCCGCCACGGCGATCTCCAAGCCGGAGCAGTCTGACAAGTGCGTCCAAGTTTCGGCTCATAAATTTCACGTAGAGACGTCCCCGGTGCTCGATAAGAGCTGCAGCCCGTTGCTACTGGTACACACCGTGCAGTCGTCCGTCAAAGTGAGGACACGGGAGACCAGCACACTCTGCCCCGGCACGAGCGCGGTGCCGCGTGCGAAAAAGCACAAGAAGTTTGCCATGTTTCCGGGGTTGACGCGAACGAAGTGCCCGGCGGGACGGCACGCCGCCTGCGAGACTGATAAGTCGACCGCCAGGCGCGACGATAATGCGGAAAAACGTCAGCCAACGAACGAGAGGTGCTGCGGGAAGAGGAACGCCTGACACGTCGCGAATTTCCCCGAACTTACCCGGACTAATTAACGCTTGATTACTCGGCGGAAAGAATAATTATATGCATCGCGAACCCATTAACGCTAGAAGTACCAATGTTTCTTACTTGATGAGACTCGGTTTTTCATTTTCTGAGCAACTTGTGATTAAGCTTATGCCCATTTTCACCAATATAGATTAACTTTAATCTCGGTTCAACTTAATCTTCATCTTTTTCCAGTTCTAAAAATTAGAAAAGGATGAAGAATAAGTTGAACCAAGTTAATCTACATTGATGAAAACGAGCAATTTTGTCAGAACAAGAGTCAGAAAAAGAAGAATACATGTACTGTCTCCTTTTATAGATGCTACCTCATTTTAACTGAAGTTGAGAAAAACAACAATTTAAAATTTGTCATCTTATAGCCTGACTCTGTTATAGAGTCTTCATAGTTTTCTAATTTATAAAATTAGAAAAATATGATTTAGTTGAATCAAAATTAAAATTAAACTATCTTGGTAGAAACGGGCATAAACAAGTTAAGTCTAAAGTCACATACACGATTGAAAAACATTGGTAATAGAAACAGGAAACAACAGATTTCAATCTGTCAGAAACTATGTATACGAGAATACATAGTTTCTAATAGGTTGAAATTTGTTATTCCCTGCTCCTATTGCTTTTCAATTGTATCTCAGGCTTAAACCTCAAGTTAACTAGAAAATGAAAAACCTTAAAGATCATAAGTTACCATAAAAATGAAGAAAATAATGAAAGACCATATTTCATCAATATAAAGGACTAATTATTCAAAAGTAAAAAAATTTCAAAATTCTTTTACACAAAAAAATATAATATTAATTTAAAAAGTTAAAACTGTCAATATTGACCGTTTAGTACTTCTAGTGTTAACTTTCCATTATACCACTGCACTTTTACGCTTAAGCTCACGGCTACATGAGATCTTGTAACTATTCCTGCATTTTTTCCATCAGATTTTGTTCCTTCGCGCTTGTGCAAGATTTAAGCAAAAGTAACTCGTCGTGTATTACTTCGTCAAAGAGAAAGAAGGCTTTCGATAGAATATAATTTATTGACGCAGCGAAACTACTTATTCATAAGGGCTTTCCTCTCGATACTATTTTACGTTTTTTTCCTTGTGCGTTTGATAATTCACAATATACCTCTTTCATTTTTAAGCTACATTGCTGTAGCTCTCCAATAAACTTTACATAGAGATGCGCGACCCTAACTCGAGTGTATATTTGAATTGCACGGTGCATACGAATCACTTCGATAACACATGTAATGCTCTGCGGCTTGGCCCGTATCTGCTCGTCGATAAATTATACCCTGCCGCGTAAGCTTTGTTCCATTTGCGCGCGTGTAAGCGGAAAACGCTAAATTATGTATAATAGTTCGAATCAGAATCTTACGTACATATAATTATTTCATTGAGCACAGTCTCCTTATCCTCCTTGCATTCTTCGTGATACTTCGTCATGTAATTTGACGATAAGAAATTTCCTAGCCCTTTATCTCGCTCTTTATTAAAGACGATAAGGTACATTTTTTTCCTCGCGCACCTCAAATCCTTCAATTAAACCGCTTCTTTGTGCCTTGTTTCATAAGTTCTTCGAGGATGAGTACGGCTTTTCTTAACGGCCGCTTGGAAGAGAAAAAAAAACGTGAGACGTTGGGCACTTCGTCTGTATCAACGTCATTTCCATAGCGTTTCCATATTACTTTTCATGTATTCCCTACATAGTATTTTCATATAGCCGTTTGTGTCGCTTCCACGTCACTTGCACATGACTGCCGCTTGGATGGAATCTCGTCTCGCCGGAAACGTGTAAAGTCGTAAGTAAATTCGGAGTAAAGTAAATTCAGAGCAAGTAAATTCGTCTACCTCTTTCACACATTTTTCCGTATGCGTTATATAAATCCGTTATCGTCACGTTTTATATAAAACGAAATCGATTTAAATAACATATCGTACGTAATTTGTAATTACTGTCTATCTCCTACGTCATCAGAACGCAATCTTTTGTTCTGTTACTGAAAAACATTATGAGTAAATTCAGTCATCTATTTTTCATATCCTCGTAGGTGTTACATAAATCTACAATTATCACTTTATATACAACAAAAGTAATCGATCTAGGGAATAACTGATAATTTGAATAAATCGCCTATGCAATTGTTATTCAAATATACTCTCTATAAATTTCGTGGAGTGAAATCTCACTCGAAGAGATTGAAAATTTAGCGTATCTTGAAAAAAGAGTGAAGATACGGCCACTCTTGTTCAAGAGTGGCAGATTTTCATTCTTTTTAAAGTGGGATTTACTCCTTTGGAATGATATTCACTCCGAAGGAGTGAAATCTCAATCCCTCTTTTAGAGTATAATACTAGAATAGATGATGGAACCTCACTCCAAAAAAGGGATTGAAATTTTATTCCTTTGGAGTAAATTTCATTTCAAAAGAATAAATCTCTTTAAAAAGAGTGAACAAGAGTGGCCGTATTTTCACTCTTTTTTCAAGACAGGCTAAATTTTCAGTCTCTTCGAGTGAGATTTCACTCCATGAGATTTAGAGAGTAATCTTGCTTTGCTACTGCAGAAAGTCACGAATGAATTCAGAGCATGTCCCGAAATTTTTGCACACTTGTAACGTAAATATGTATACAATCATCATTTATGTATAACAAAGTTTCAATAATATCGAGAAATCTTAAAGAAAGAAGTCACTTTGCAGTTCGCACACTTTTACAATACAGATTTCTTACAATTATATCAACGGTGTCTAAATTTCAAATGAGAATATGAGGTAACATAAATAAAAAAAAAAAAAAGACAGAGCAACACCGAGAACTTTGCAGTAGCCAACGGAAGGTCTTATTGCACTTCGCAATCGTCCGGCCGACGATCGACCAAGTAGTTCGAGTCTGTACTGCGTCAGACCGTATCCGAAGACGATACAGCGGATCGGGTCGGCAAGCTAGAATTCGCGTCGTCCGACAAAGGGGTGCCGAACATCAAAGGCGCCGCATAGTACGGAAGAAGAGGATACTGGGTGGTCGGGAAATACGTCGGTGGAAACAGTCCTTGCCTTTGCGCGATCTTCAACCTGGACGTGAGCTGCTTCTTCCACTTCGTGCGGCGATTCTGGAACCACGTCTTGATTTGCACCTCGGTGAGATTCAAACACTTGGACAACTCCATCCGCTTGCTCACGCTGAGATATTTGTCAATCTACGAGGACCAAAAATGTATGAAAAGAAATTATAATGTCGTCAAATGAATTGGTCGCATGAACAATAGGAATTAAGGAAATCACGAGTCATACCTTAAACTCCGCTTCAAGTCTCTCCAGCTGTTTTGCACTGTAAGCTTGACGTGGTTTCCGATCGATACCCGGTTTTCTCGATCTCCTGCCACTCGGTTTAGGTGCTGTAAAAATAATCAGTCCTTATCTCATCGTACTAGCAATTACTGAATGACCCCTTTTACACCGAGCATTTGATATGCATACTAATTAGTAATTTTCTATTACATTCTCTCAATTTCAGCAATGTATTTAAAGAATGATATATTAAATTGGTACAATATGCATCAAAATGATTAACTAAATATTCATATCATGTATATGTTTACACGTACCGCCGAAATTAAGATAATTCAATAAAAAGTTACTAGTTATATATAGTACTATATAGTACTAGTTATATATAGTATCAAGTATATATAAACTAGATCAATATCGCCTTGCAGAACACAAGTTAAATAATACGACATTAATGTATAATTTTTTACTCAACGATGTAACTATTTTGAAATCATATTACATTCCTGGAAAAAAATGTTTCATGTATAATTGCATATAATTATATATAATTATATATAAAATATGTCCATATATGTATATAATATTTTTTCCCGGGAGTTATACTGTTTGAATGAAAATTATAATATTGATGTAAAGTTATTGCCAATTTGTGTTCTACGTAATCGCGGAATCGATCGACTACATAGTCGTTGCTAATTACATGAGAGTCCTTTAAGTCCTTTGACAGTTTCTGATACTGGCATTTTCGGAGATTTATTGTCGCGATAATCAAAATTTAATATTCTAATCCCGCGTCTTAATTGCACGACTAACTTCGCCAGCTCGTGCTTAATTATCACTTCAAGATTTCGAGGCATCATCCGTCGAGTCCTGTCTAGGATCATCGAACATCTCTGAAACGTGTAGGACTGTTTGCAGAATGTGTGACATCCTACAGTCAACATCATCGAGGCAAAGCGGTAACGAGTTGTGCAAACAGTTTATGACGGAGAACGTTTGGATGCGATTATCATCGTAGTGCAAAGAAGTACTACACATTTCCTTTGAAAAGCATATACAAGACATTATAACGTAATTAGTTGCACTAAAATAATAGGATGATTGTTAACTACGTTGGCAAATATCCACGAATAATTTGTGCTAGAAAGCAAATACTGAAGCGCGATGCAGCATTTTAAAGTAACAACTATTCTGGTACTACTATATCTGAACCAAGTTGATTCTTTTCTATTTCGCTTTCAAATTTGAAATTATATTACAAGAATATTATTTAATCTGCTAAATATCCGAGTAAATATCATTTAAAGAAAAGAGAGAGAGAATCCGTGATTATTTACATTTTATTATTTATTTTAGAATAATTTTTGATTGAATTTTTGATTCGTATAATTTCATTATTTTTTATTTCCGTGACATTCTTATAATTTATATATACGTACAAATATATAAGAAAAAGTATAATTAATTTAGAAATGCTGCATCGTAAATATGAGAATCTATAATGTTAAAATAGTTTACAAATTGTTTATAACAGAATAATTTTTTTCTCATTGACAATCTGTTCGAATTCTGAAAATAGTACAAACGCGTGATGAAGTATGCGAGAAACGGAGTACCCAAGATTGCGATATTTTTACATAGAAATAGGAACTCTTTTTGCTCCTCTCTTGTGTTTAATCACCAGTTAGCCGAGCGGCCCTTACACGACAAGTCAACAAATAGATGTCGCGTATTTGTACAAGACCTTTACGTTTTTACAGGACCCTTCCAGCGTTTCTACGACTACGGGGAACAGTTAAGTTTTATTACGGAGAACAGTTTTTACCTTACGGAGAACAGTTAGCATATTTATACTTTATATAAAAGAATTTACCTCGGATAATGTTAGATAAATTGCATCTTAAACGAAAAAATTTGGATTTCATTCGAACATTTTCAAAACATCTCACTGTTTTTTAACCTTAAGTTACACTTCGGAGTTCTTTTCTAATTCAGAAAATATCTAACTATCTAAAGTATCACTTAATTTATAACGTTGTGTTAACTATTATGCAAATTCGAAACTCGCAGCAGGTTTTAGAGATTTTAAATGTTTTAATACACATAATTCCTTACGCTTAATATAGGAAACTTGTTAGTGCAATGTATGCCGTGCAAATAATATTTAAGAAACGCTTTGTTTCTTTATAACATCTATAATATCTGTGTTTATCTAACATTTTTGCAGCAGCAGAAGATACGTCTATTAAACACGTGTAATGTGACATGTTTATTAAACACGAAAAATTTAAATGAATTTAATTCCTAAAGAAATTGAATGTTGTTTTATTGCGTGATCTAGATTAAACTATGCGGGAGAGTAAGTTTGATTATAAATATAATAAACACAATCGCAGACGAGATGATCTCATTCTCAGAAATGAAAGACTGCTGTGATGACCGGAAAGAAGAATACGCACGGTGACGAAGAAGAAGAACCGGACCAAGATTTACGAGTGTACAGAGACATTTAACACCTTCGTGGAAGATAGTTAGACCAACGGTGCTGATAAATGGGCTCCTAACAGTATGGCGGATAGTAGCCGAAAAGGGAGAAACAACGCTATGGCGGATTTTAATCTTATCGCAGAATCATGAAATATTCGGGATTTTAACTAAGAATTGCCGCACATAAAGAATGGTTTTGCTGAAATATCTAAAAATATAGCTAGATACAGATCTGAAAATAATTTTGTTAGACTATCAAAATAATTATGTAGGATGCTCGAAATGGTTGCTAGAATGTCAAAACTTTTTGTAGCATTGCTTGTCATGTTTGAGTTTCCCACATAATTATTTTGATGGTCCAACAAAATTATTTTCAGATCGATATCTAGTTAAATTTTTATGCTACAACAAAATTCTTTTCCTATATATAATATGGCAATTTTTCTACAGCTTTATATAGATTATTATTTAACAAAGTTGTGACAAATCTGTAATATTATAATTATATTACTTATATTAAATAAATCAATATTTAAAAGAGTGATAGAAATTGTAAGAAATGTTTAATAGAATGATAAAATTCTGAAATTTTGCGTAAAGTTGAGTGCTAGGAAAAATACAATACTACAAAATTTGATTAATGTGCGATTTTTACGCGGTTAAATATTAATATTTCGCCAGTAGCATGTCAAAAACAAGGGGATGCAACAACTGGGCCACTGATGTGTGCCTCGCGTGTCGAAAAGCTGTTATCGCAGGCGCCTCGTATAATATCCAATATTCGTTGAGGCCGAGAAAGAGGGTGCCCATCTCACACCTCTTCCGGTATTGTGCGCGAAAATAGAATTACGGTGGTAAGTTATTACGAGTGGATAATAATTAGAGTCCTTTGTCGTCGCGATTCTCCGAAAGCGTTAGTGCCTTAGACACGAAAAAGCTTTCTAGCATCGCGAAGATTTTTCCATCGTACTTGTTGTATATTTTTGTAATTAACTGATAGCATTGAGTACTCCCAAAATCAGACAGATTTGATGTAATAGATTTTATTTCTAATGCATTGAATTTTTCGAGAGACAAACTCTATAAACTCTAAAGAAAAGATATCGTATTTTCAGACAAGATTATGACGAATAGATTCGATATACTTTGATATAGAAACTAAATTAGGTTCTAAAAGTCTTACCTTGTAAACCAAACAGCTGTCCAGGCTTTGTTTGAGCAAACCAGCTACTATATAGTAATGAAGCTGATGCGAGTGATGTTGCAGAATATGCCGAGGGATCAGATAGTGCACCTTCGGAGTACGGCAATCCCGCATGAGTATACAAACTCCCTTCTATATCTATTAAATTATATTGCATTGTATTTATTAAATCGTACAATCTTTTCTTATAAATATTTGAAAAGCTTCCGTGTATATCTTAAAGAGTTCTTTATTGTCAATATTTTAAAACAATATACAATAGCCGGTATTCATACTTGATTTTTATATGTAAGACCGTAATTGGCTATATATAATAATTGACTTATGACATCTTAAGAAGTATTTTAATTAAGATATATTTAGGACGACCTTAAAATAAAAACCGACTAATGTAATTTATACCTACGTAATTATTTTATTTGTCTATGGATTTGCGGGAATTTATTTTATGATATGTTTTATTATATTTTTTCTTCTAAATTAAAACTTTAGATAAAACTTTAAAAGTATCGAATATCTTTCGTTAATATTGAAATTATTTTATTTTTAAAATTATTTTATTTTTTTATACAAATACAAAAATTTTTGGCATGATAATCTAATTTTCTGAACATACCAGAACGTGTGGCTGGTATCGCTGTTGGCTTGACAAAGTGTCCCTCTATCCTGTCATCCGTATCGTCTTGATCTTCCTCTTTATCACCGGAATTATTTATTCTCGAAATTTCTCTTTTCTCATTTCTCCCAAGAATACTGTCGATAGTAAAAGCACTGGACGCTGCAATTGGGGATGAATTTCTTCTTTCGATTTGTTGTTTCTGAAACTCCCTATAACCCTCGCAGCTGGAATCGGATGCATACTCGATAGACTCTCGATTGACAGTCGGTGATATGCAGCCTCTCTCGATGTTGTTTGAAAAGGCTTCGTTCTCACTCGGAAGCGATCGTGTCCGGCGGAGATCATAAACGGCATCGTTCATTTTCTCGCGGTTTTGATAGAGTTCCATCTTGTGAAAAATCATCGAGCTCTACTACAATAGACGATTTTGATTTCACTCGGACGACGGCATACGTTCCAATAATAATTTAAATTCGCGCACTTTACATTTAATAACGAAGTAATCCAATAATTTTTTTCACGTTTCTTTCTTCTTTAGATTTCACAGTTATTAATATAAATTATTTAGACAGGTTTTTGACTCAATTACAGTCTGCCGTATCATTATTTACCGTCGCGTATTGAAATCAAATGATTTTTTAATTGGCGAAATATTTTATACAGCCAAAAATGTCTACGAGAGTCAGCTGTAAGCGGTTTAACACACGTTTCTTCTTTGATCGATCACACCTGATCTCGTACTAATCTCCCTTCGAACCGTCCGAAAGCAAGTACTTCCGAAAGTATGACAAGTGGCACGTGTCTATGGTCCAGAGAAGGATCTCCCAACATCCCCACCAGCTTCCCACGGGAAGGTCATCCCGTGAGGTTGGAAGAATATCTCGCACCTCGGAAAACCCCCACTTACCCGATATCTTTCTGATCGGAGTAGGGATCGCAGGATCGCGGCGGTTTATAGCAGATTTCCTATTTTAGAACTAATAGCTTTCTAATCACATCATTTGTGAAATATTTTGCCTTTCTTTTTATGCGACTGAGGGATCCGTGAAATTTATTATAAACACGATTTAATATATAATAGTATCTTTATTAACAATTATCAATATATTAAGAATCAAATACACAAATTATATTTGCGGGATTTTAAATTTTAACATCAATCGTCTGATGTGATTATTTATGGTCTTCATTAAAATTATACATGTAACAGTGAAAGCTTACATTTTTTTAAGTTTTGCCACTTAAAATATATATATTTTATTTACACATATACGATATATTATAAAAAAAGTCTGTTACTTCTTTAATCAATCTCATTTCTGTTTCATTACTGCACTGAAAAAAAATATAGTCAATTTTAATAAATATTTAGTTGAATATATATATATATATAAACTGTAAGTAAATATTTAGCTGGCATGTATATTCAACTAAATATTTATTAAAATTGACAATATTTTTTTCTCAGTGTGTTTCTATTAAGATATCGTGTTTTCTATCGATACGATCGGTACAGGATAATTTTATAAATTCATACGATGGATTTCCTATACTCCTATTTTATCGAGGCATTCACGCGTTTTATGGTTCATTCCAAAAAAAGTGCTTGAGCTCGACGATTCGGCTTGCGCACTAGCGAATTTTGCCGCAGCGAAAAAGGGCTCATCTGGGATCAAAAGGTGGATCTCCGATTGGTCCCAAATGCGCAGGATGCTCGCGCAGCAACCGCCTTCTTTGACCCCTCTATCTCGAAACTTTATGCCGGTAAAACGATGGTCGCTTCTCTCTTTCCCGTTCGCGCTTTAGCAATGGATAAACGCTTCTGCCACGTGAAGAACATCATGAAAAAGTACCGCAAAACACTTCTTCACGCGTTTAGCGAACTAAGCGCAGTGGTTCTCACTGTACTTCAGAAACGTCACATTTCTTTATTATATCTTGACAGTTGTATTTCATGAATAAACTTTACAATTTATCAGTAGCGATATTCAACAAGTCAGTGGTTATAATACTCAAATTTTTGCTTGTGCAAAAATCTCAATTAATTTGACAGCAATATATTCATATTTGAAAGATTTATAATTTAATTTTTAAAAGAAGACAAACCTTTCGACAATAATTTGGAATGGATATTAATTCTAAAAAAAAGTACTTCTGAGGTTCCGAAATAAAAATACAAACGATATAGCTGGTGACGTACGGTTCCAGATTTCAACTTCCACCGTTGATGATAGTCCTTACCGAACCATATCGTGCTATTTCTGTTTACGGGCACGGTGTGGCGGCCATTTTCGCGAATGGCGCGTCCATTAGTCTCCGGGCTACCCGTGCCAATCTCAATGTTCATCCTTGCGCGCCGTAAATCCACTCGGCTCCACGCTTCCGCGGCTAAAAGGACCAATGGCGATTGTGAGCCCTTTCTACCGCGCGCCGTCATCGATCCTCTCCCCGATCCACGTCTGAGTTATTTCGTCTTTGTAGAAGAGCGTATATCATTCTTTTCATTAGAGATGAGCTAAATAGTTATTTTTCTGTAACGGTTATGACGATTATCGTTATCCACAAATAACCGAATATTTAAACAGTTATTTTATAACAGTTATTTTATACGATTTATATTATATATGCTTTATGTAAATGGTTATGCAAATTTGCTGGATATTTCTAAGAGATAAATCTGAAACAATATTCTAGGTAGAGATAGCATTGTAAGAATTATTGCAACAAATATTTATCATATGGATATTATATATATATTTATTATATGGATATTATATATATACTTAGTATATTATTTATTAATAATATGTAGATTTATAACGTAGATTAAAT